CCATACATTTTAACATTTATATTGCCCAGACCGACCACCATACATTGACCCCGCCTCATCTCAATAGCCATGCCCATGTTTTAGGCGCTACATCAATAGACCTACACTGAGACATTACAAATTATATATACTCTATATTGCCAAAAGTATTGGGACGCCTGCCTTTACATGCACATGACCTTTAATGGCATCCCAGTCTTAGTCTGTAGAGTTCAATATTGAGTTGGCTCCACCCTTTGCACTGCTTCATTACCACAATAAATGCTAATCACTTACAATGGTGGAAATGGACTTTAGGCCTGACCTATGTCCATGAAACCAGAAAGAATTTAAATGGAGGAGCCTTGTAGTAATACTAATTATAACATCAATGCTATTTATATTTCAAATTATTGCCATATTTTTGTTGCTGTCTTCTCCACAGGGTGATTCTGGTGGACCCGTAGAGTGTGGAGGAGAACTGCAGGGTATTGTCTCCTGGGGATATGGCTGTGCCCTTCCAGACAGACCAGGTGTCTACACCAAAGTCTGCAACTACAATGGCTGGATCGCAGACACTATTGCAGCCATCTAAACCATTGTCAGTGTTCTGTTCGCTGCACTCAGCTTACAATTCATTAAAAAATCCTTAATCAATAAAACAGATTGCATGGGACCTGTGCTTTATTCTCAAATGTATTATGTAAGTTTGTAAATCAAATCATGAAATACGAATTGTACGGCATGAACTAAAAATATACTAAGAGTTTAATAATCCCAAGTGGCTTTTTATAAAGAGAGTGAATACCCAGATTTGTGGACCATTTCCTCTCACGTCACATTGTAACAACGTCCTCAATAATTTTATACCACTTTTATAGGGGACCAACCAGCTAATTGGTACACTGGAAAGACTGCTGAACTGAAAGCACAATCAATGTTATACAGGTGAAACTCGAATAATTAGAATATCGTGCAAAGTTCATTTATTTCACTAATGCAACTTAAAAGGTGAAACTAATATATGAGAGAGACTCATTACATGAAAAGCAAGATAGTTCAAGTCGTGATTTGTCATCATTGTGATGATTATGGCTTACAGCTCATGAAAACCCCAAGAACCCCAAATCCACAACCTCAAAAAAGTAGAATATTACATGCAATCAATAAAACAAGGATTGTACATAGAACAATATCGGACCTCTGAAAAGTACAAGCATGCATATGTACTCAGTACTTGGTTTGGGCCCCTTTTGCAGCACTTACTGCAATTACTTTTGCACGATACTCTAATTATTCGAGTTTCACCTGTATTCCTTCAGTAATCTACTAATCACACCACCCCTCCTGTACTAAGGATAAAGAGCGGATGACATGTTTCAATTCCAGCCTGGGTGTGACAACACTCTTAGGTGGCTGTGAGGGTTCTTTGGTGGGCTGTGCAGACTCTCCGGTGGGCTGTGCAGGTTCTATGGTGGGCTGTGCTGACTGTCAGGGGGCAGTCGGATGAAGTCAGCAGAGCTTCACCTCATTCATTTGAAAAGTAAACAGACTATTTGCCTGTAGTAAATCAACCCCAAAGAGAACACGCAGATGTTTTGCTAAAGAATGTAAAGACTGCTAATGACACATCAGTGTAAAATTGCTCAGCAACAGGGTAATTTTGAATAGCAAGGCTTGGTCCAAATTACTAGAAAGAAAGAGCAATGGTAAGGGCTTTACTGCAAGAATTAAGAGACTGCAGATAATACAGCAGTTTAAAATTGGCACATAAGCAGTACAGTTGGTCAAGGAGAATATGCCTAACCAGTGTATGCCTAACTTCTATGGGGTCTATTCACGAAGATGCCGAAGGATCTAGCCGTAGCTTCGGCCGATCCTTCGGCTAGCTTCAGCCCGAGGACCCCTTCGTTTCAGTAGAACCGAAGGGGTGCTGTACGGGCTATTCAGTATAGCCCGTACAGACTCTATGGTGGGCTGTGCAGACTCTCCGGTGGGCTGTGCAGGGTCTATAGCCCGTACAGCTCCCGAACGTGACCGAGCAGTTCAGTCGAGCCGAACGCATATGCCTCGGTTCGGCTGAGCCGCGCTGAAAGCCGAAGCTGGCCGAGCTTGCTTCTGACAGCTGGGCGGAGCCAGCCGTGATCTTACGGCTGGCTCCGGCCACTTGCAGAGAGATCAGCGTCCCTGGTTACCTGCTAACCAGGGACACTGATCTCCAAACAGCAAACTCTCCCTGGCGCTCCGGGAGTCTCTTTTATTTTTATTGTGACACAGAGCAGAGTGCCCGGGAGAGTTTTTTTTCTTTGTTTTTTGACGGCAGCAGAGCCGCCGGACAATAGAAAACTGCTATCTCATCACAATCGTTTTCTATTTACTTTTTTTAACTATTTTTCTGTTCTGCTCGGTCCCTCTGAGGGACCGAGCAGAACAACCGAGCCGAATGCCGCTCAGCGGCATTTGGCTATTCACTCACTGCTGTTCGGCATCTATGAGAATAGGCCGAACAGCAGTGAGTAGCCTGCCGGAGGTTCGGCTCAGCCGATCCAGATGTTGGATCGGCTGAGTCGAACTCCTTCTGCACTTCTGGTCGGCCGAACATGCTGAGCATGTCCCTCTACAGGTTCATGAATTTGTAGAGCTTACGGGGCATTCTTCCATGTGCTCTAGCTATGGGGGTTTAGATACCACTTGAAAAGAACATAACTCAAGACTCACTTCTTCATGCCATTAATGCTGACCTTTGGAAACTCTCTTTCACCAGTTGCTCCAGGCCATTGCCCCAGACTCTCTCCGCACACACCAAGGCCATTATGACGGTAGGGCTCAAGGTTATACAGTTTACATATTTTTTTATAAAGAGAAGGGAAAACAGCATATGCTACATTGCAGCAGTGGTAATCCATTGACACACCAATTACCTGTTTCCCAAATATAACTTGTTGACATAATCTGTACCTCAGGCACAGGCTTAACAGTTATCTCCAGTGGAAGAAAGGGAAAACCTATCCAAAATAGTTGCTTCTATAAAACTTTTACTGAACTTCGGAATTATAGAGTAACATTTTCTTGTTACATTTCTTCTGTTCAGTTTACGAACCAGATAGAGCTGACCCATTACCCAAAGTATAGAGAAAACACCATCCCTCTCTATTTCTAACTACAAGTTCCAGTTCTCCTAGTAAAGCTCCTTAAGGGAGAATAGTCCACTCCCCTACTCCCTAGGGGGAAGCTTGGCTCTCTACTCACATAGCTCTTGCAGATAGGCAACCCTATCCCTAAATTCAGTTCATTTGGGTTCCCTCCAACAGCTAACTCTCCACGGTCCTCTCACCAGTGATGTGCCATGCCTTCTGTGCTGGGTGAGGCACCCCCCAGCCCGCCAAAACGCCGTCCTGTCCTGCCGAAGCTCTGCCCCGTCCCACTGAAGCTCTGCTCCCACCCCACCGAAGCCCCACCCCCCACTTGGTAAACTGGCTGTGTGGGGAGGAGGAAGGCAGAAGAAAGGGAGGAGCCTCCCAGTCCCTCACTTGCTCGTCACTGGTGAGGCATCCAGATCGATGTCCTCACTTTTTTTTTTTTGATTGGGCAGCTTGGACCAATGGCGCTTTGCCATTGGTCCAAGCCATCCACAAAGCAAATGCCTCTAACACAGAGTAGAGGCTGTGACAGCTCTTTCCTCACCAAGTTAGGTTACACAAGCAGTGGGGAAACCCGCTGCTGTGTAACCTAACTAACCAGTCAAAAGCTAGATGCAGCTGCTTTTTTCTTCATAATACTAGGTGAAACTCTGCCTCACCAGCCTCCCATGACAGCATGTCCCTGCCTCTCACTATCCAATTTTATCCTCCTGACAAATAGTCTAAAGTAATGCAAAATCCATTCGAAGCAGGTCACATACAGCCAGTGGCCCCAGGCAGTCGCTATGGGGCCCGGGGCACAGTGGGGCCCGGCCATGTGCCGTGCGGGCCGCCTGGGTCGCTATGGGATCCTCTGCTGGTGGCTTTCACTGGCGGCTGAAGAAGAACACGTCGCTGTTCAGATCATCTGTGCAGCAGCGCGTTCGTCTCCACACAGTCAATGAGAGCCAGCAGCGGTGGTGGAGCAGGCTGGACCCGGTGTTCTGTCAACCTCATCAACCTCACGAACCTCTGACATCACCGGCAGTGGAGGAGGCGGGGCCCATGCTCGGCAGCAGGGGAGGAGGCGGTGCTCGGTGACGAAGAAGTAGGCGGGCCCGGCAACGGAGGAGGTAAGGAGTGTGACCAGCCCACCTGAGCTTAACCCTGCAGAGCCCAACATAGAGAGCCTATGGTGGGCTCTGCAGGTTCACCCTCAGGTGGGATCTCGAATGGGCTCTGCAAGGGGTATAACTATAAATCACGGGGCCCCATACAAAATTTTGCTATGGGGCCCTGTGATTTCTAGTTATGCCCCTGCATACAGCTCAGAAAAAATTCAACTGCAGGTCAAATATACCTGTAAATAAATTCTAAATAATCTCAGAAAGGTTTCAAACTGATGCCATTGACACAAACCCGTAGCCCATCAACACAGGAACTCAAGATTGTCTCTCAATAAAAAGCAGCCCTCCTTTCATTAGCAAATGGAAAAAGTTTAATTCTTAGCTCTATCACATCTAATTAGTTCATGCAAATCAAAATTAACTAATTTTTTTAATACCTGGCAAAAAACGCTACATGCTTGGCCAACATTGCAGTAAAGCAAATATATCAAGTCAACTAATAACACAATTGTCGATTAGATAAGAAAAAAGTTGTTTTTGTTCTCATATAGCAACATATTGTATGGTCTGTTTTTTGATTGGTTGCTGGCACTCGTGGGATAATCCTCATTTGGTTTACATTTCGCAAATAGGCATGTGAGCAAGGACACCTCTAAATACACACTTGATTTATATCATGGTGCAGGTGATTGGTCTGATTTGTCACATGGTGGAGTTCGCAAATGCTAAAAGGTTATAAATAGTTCACACATTCAGACAAGACTGAAGTTCCAGCATGAAGCTTCTTGTGGTTTGTATGCTCCTCGGAGCTGCTGGTGAGTATGTATGGACAAGCAAATCACACTACTTTAGAGATATTTGTCTTTAATCAAGGGATTGTCCGCCCTCACCCTGCAGCGCCCTCAGGCGGCCGCCTGACTTGCCTTGCGGTAGCGCCGGGCCTGATTGTAGTATCCTTGTGCTTCCCACTTGACTGCAATCAAATGTCATTGCTCATTTCTTTAAAATCTTAAATACAGTTTGTGAGCCTTAGACCACAATGTGGTCTAAGACCACAAGGGTTAAGCTCTACCTGGTGGCAATAAGGCAACGCTGGATTTCCTGAAGGGCTGAGTCAAAGATGTTGAGTTACTAAAAGAGAAGAGACATTTCAGTTAGCAAAGTGAATTTTATCTGAGGTTAGTGCAAAAGGGGAAGCTGTGAAGCTATGTTCATTTCAAAAATCCAATGACATTAAAATGTAGGGATGTGGTATTTTTCCAAAATCTCTTTTGTACTTTTGTGTGATCTATAGAAAGCAGTGGGCTACGGTCATCCTATCTGTGTCTCCTGCTGAGTGTTCTCTTAGCACAGTGTCCTTTTTCTTTCCTAGATTCTGTTGAGCATGCCCCGAGCAGGCTATGCTTTAGAATGTTACATCTGTATTATAAATATTTAATGACCCAGCCAATCACTAGCTTTAGGGGGCCTAGTGATCTGTGCTGGGAATGTACTAAATATTTGAGGCACTTGCTGGCACTTGGTCTTTCCTTCTGAGCATTTTCCCTGTGAGGATCCTTCTTTGAGATCTCTCTCTCCCCAGGCCTATAGGTCCTAGGGAATGGAGGGCTACAGGTATCTCCCCTCCTGGGATGAATCATGAAGATCCTGGCTGCTAGAAGCTGTCCTGCTTGGCTCAGAGGAAGCTCCACAAAAGAGGTGGGGAGTGTAACTAGTCAAGTGAAAAGCATACACAGGAACCTTTTCAGCTCTCCAGCCTTGGAACTATTGGATTAAGTTATCACAAGAATCTTAATCTCCAAGGAGCCAGATCACACAAGGAGCTAACATAGCCTGTGAGAGAAGAAGCTTAAAAAGATGTGAAGAAGACCAGAAAATGTGTTCTGGATAGAACATTTTAGGTGGTCTGTCTGTGGTTCCTCTGAACTCCTTCCCATCTGCTATGCAGGACTGCAATAACATCTGTTCCTAGTTCCCATGGTGCCCATTACTTAGTCCAACTTGGGAAATAAATCGCACACAGGGTGCGATCATACCGTGTCCAAATTGCAAAGTAAGCTGGCTTAGAATGTTCACAACATGGTCTATGGTTAGCTGTAGGACAATAATTATTGAATAACAGTACCAAAGGCACTACATACTGTATATATATATATAT